CCGATTCCCCGATTCCCCGATTCCCCGATTCCCCGATTCCCCGATTCCCTGATTTCCCCATCCCTGATTTCCCTGATTTCCCTGATTTCCTCGATTCCCCGATTCACCCGTTCGCCGATTCCCCCTTCCCCGATTCCCCATTCCCCGATTCCTCGTTCCCCGATTCCTCGTTCTCCGTATTAGAGATTTTTTTACGCTATCAGTTTTCAATTTTATATTTCCTATGAACGTTTGTACTTGTATCCATTTAAGTTTCACTCGTCAACCGGGGAGAACAATTTCTTACGTTTCTGTTCATTCTAAACGCATCAAACACATGTTTACAGTTGTATTTCAATATAATTTTTTACGGATCACAGCTAGCCCTTCAGCTGAAAACCGTTAACAGTTAGTGGTAAAGGATATGCTGCTGTTCTGGTGTTCCTGATCTTGGTACAGGCTCATTACTGCGCCTTTCAATGACATACGGACTCTAAAATTCAAAGCTCAACGGGTCCGGATTTGATTACCGCGCGCTCGGCAGTAGTCGAAAGCTGTGAGGAGCCGCCAAGCATTTGATTGACGGTAGCGAAAAACGTATTTGTCGATTGAGCTTTGAATGCTAGGTCCAGTTCAAACGTCGTGCTTCTGCCGTGCCGAACATAATTGCAATTTGGTTCGACTATGGCACGGCAGAAAAACAACTCTGATTCAGACGTCGTGCCAGAGTCAAACCAAATTCAGAATTTACTGATGCCTCGTAACAATTCTCCTCCTAGCTCCCCGTGGGAACGCAATCCCGCCAAAATATATTAATATAATTTATGAATTTTGTTTGGCGCGACAGAAGCACGACGTTTAGCTACGTTTGAATCGCTGCCGTACCATAGTCGTGTAGCACGGCAGAGCTTGTCGAACTTAATTGCTTGCCGATCTTACTTCAAAAGTTTGATTCAGACGCCGTACTTCTGCCGTACTTTTGTTGAACTTAATTCCTAAATTTAGTGCGGCACGGCAGAAGCACGACGTCTAAACTGGGCCTTAGAGCCCTCAGGTTATTGAAAGGCACAGAAAACTAGATTTAGTCACAGTAGGAAAATTTTGCTTTCATTTTAGTCTAGCGCATGGTAGCGTAGTTCACCGTAAGGCGCGTGGCGTGTAATCCATGCCTTACGTAAGGCGCAGAACGTAGTTAAAGTCCCTAATATTTCCTGTTTTCCTACGGCCCTGATGCAAAACCGAACACATTAGTCCAACATCTTGCTATGTGCTTGGGTGATAATTGAAGCTTCCTGTGAATTAGCAACGATTGATTTTCTTTTTCTAAGCCGG